TAAAACCTTATTTTTAAGGAATAATCATACAATATTTCTTCATTGTGTTAATTGTAATATTAAATCCCCTTTATTTTCCCCTTTATTATAAATGAATGTTTTATGCCTTAAAAATGTAAATACACAACACAGAATTTGAGGGGAAAAAATCATAAGGCTATTGTAAGAATAAATGAAACTTGTTTTTATGCTTTCAAATAATTAGACATGCTAAAACACAGAATTTGGTAACAATAAAACATAAGGTTGGAAAAAATAAAACATTTTTGGGCCCTAAACATGTAATTTTTGTTAAACTTTTAATAAATTGATGTTAAACTGTTTTAGGTTTCATGATTTTAATTAATTAGACATGCTTTTTGATTAATGAAATTTAATTTAACCATTAAAAAGGAGTCCAGAAAAATTCAAACGGAATCCCCCCTACCCCCAAAGCCGTAAACCTAGGGGAAACACTGTTAGAAAGTAAAATGTTTAGCATCCTAATTTTAATTTATCTACTGTCTGTTGTTTGTATCTGTAGATATAAAAATGCCGGCCCATCCTTACACTCCAAGAGTGTCCGTCAATTCGGCAAGTCGACCAGATACAAGAAAAAAAGCCTTTACAGATGTTAAATATATGGAACCAACTTCCAGCCTGAGAACCTCATCTACATCAAGTCAGTTTCATTCTTACGAACCCTCCAGGATCGTGCCTATCAGTGTATCAAATCGTGCCCAGCAAAGTCCTGCTTCAAGAAGGGACATGATTTCCTTCACCAAAGCAGTGCAGGCAGCTGCTTCCAGTACCCCAAAACCTGGAGTCTCTTCTGTTGAGATAAAAAGAGAGGAGACAGATCAGAGAATTATGAGAAAAGAGATTTCACAGCCCTCTTCAAAGGGCTCACTTGATCATACCCACTCTAGAATCGAAAGTACACACAGCTCTACAGCCTCAAAAACAGAGAAACCAAAGCCAGTGAAAGTGATATCACCTCCTGCGAGCTTGAGCAAGACCACCACTGAAGAAAAAAGCCAGAAAGATGTTGAACCAAAAGCAAAGGGAATGGATGCCAAACAAGATAAAGAAAAATCCAAGGTAACAATGGAAGAAGAAAGAAGGGATGTGAAAGAATCAATAGCTAAAGATGAGAAAGAGTCTGAAAATGTAGGGCATAAGGTGTTTGTAGGTGAGGAAAAAGTTTTAGATGCAGTTTCTATGAAGGAAATCATTCAGCAGGTCATGAAACCAGCTGGTTTAGATGCTAAGGTCAGCTCATCCCCTGACTCAAAAGTCACATATCATGTGGAGAAAACAGAGCAAGAGAATGGAACCACCAAGACTCAGATATTCTTACAATCTAAAGTCGAGGAGGAAGTGGACCTGTCTGACGATTCTGCCTTGGAGGAACTTCTCAGCATGGGAGTCAAGAAAGTCACCCTTGAGAACATCAAAGGAACCCCAACAGGAACCATGATCGAGAACCTGCTGAGTCTTGGCCTGCAAGGTGAGAATTTGGAAAATAGGTTAGTAAATGTGGAGATAATCGAGGAACCGGTGGAGTCTGTTGAGGAAGGTGAAATTGAAATAGAGGAGACTGTGGAGATTAAGTCTAAACAACCAAATATTGATCCCTCATCAATGTTCTTCCAAATTGAGGAGCTAGAGAGTAACCCTAAGACCATGAAACCCGATGAGAGAGGTTCTGCTGAAGCCTCACAATATGGAGACAGTGGCTCTGTACAGGTTCGGGAAGTTACCAGAGATGAAAGCTTACCCTACTTCTCGCATGGCCAAGACTCACAAGAGTACTTCGTCTCCACTCCTGAAGACAATATGTCAGAGTCTGAGGAGGGTGGGAGGTTTATGTCTTATAGCCATTATGGAGTCGTCGATGATCTGTCTGATGAAAGATATTACCAGGAAGACGACCCCAAACATCCCACTGCTGAAGGTCACAGTTACAGAGAATCACCTGAATACGAACACTCGTTTTTGAGAGACAATATCCAAGACTGCATAATTGAAGAGGAGGTGCATGTCTCTCCCACACTACAACAGTCCATAGTGGGGATCCTGAGGAAGGACTCACTAGACCCTGAACAGCAGCTTAGAGGAGCATTAGAGCAAATCCAAGACACTGTATCTGGAGCCCTCAAGGAAGAGCTTGCCTTTTTTACGAAAGGTAGGGAGACTCCAGAAAATGTCTCTGTGGACATTAAAAAGGTAGAACAAGTTACAGACAACGGAACCATGACCATTGTGGCACAGCTTAATGTTTCCCAGACATTGGAGGAGTCTGGGTTGCTGGAAAGAGAAGGAGATGATCTATCTGAAGAGCAGATAATGGCAGCACTAAGCTCATCCCACCCAAAGCTTCAGCAGGCTATCGGCGGAGGAGCTGGTGTAGGATACACCATGAAAATTTCCCAAGAGGAGATTCAAATTGAGGGAATGCCGTGGATGACCGGCGACGAAGAGATCCAACAATGGAGCTCAACCGATGAGGCTGGCAAGACAGAAAAACACATCAAGCTGGGCCCTAGTGAGAAATCCTTCACTTTTCAGATGGACGTGAACAACAGCTCTTCTGCATCAGCAAGTGGAGGAGCTGTCGAAGTACAACGAGGTGGCGGTGCTACTGAGTTCCCACAAACCCAGATGATTGACCCCCACTTGAAGGTCTGTCATGAGAAAAGAATCGCAACTGTTTATCTCGAAAGCCCCAAAGAGTGATATCATAATGAAATAACATTGAAATTACACAAAATATCATGTCAATCACATAATTAGTTATGAATTGGACAAATGAAATGGCATTGTAAACCATAATCCAAAATCCATGGTCCATCATGACTATGCACTACTGTTCAAAAGTTTGGGGTCAGGAACATTAAAATTATTCCGAAATTATACATTAAATTGATCCAAAGTGACGGTAAAGACATTTATAATGGTTTCTGTTTTAAATAAATAGTTCTGAAGGATGATGTGACACTGAAGACCCGAGTAACGGCTGCTGAAAATTTAGCTTAGATTTTTTTATTCACAGGAATAAATTACATTTTAAAATATACTCAAAATATACTTAAACAGTCATTTGAAACTGAAAAAATTATTTCATATTACTGTTTTACTGTAATTTTAAACCAAATAAATGCAGCTATGGTGAGCATAAATGACTTCTTTCAAAACCCCCAAACGTTTAAATAGCAGTGTATCTGACATTCAGTAGCTAAAGTGTTAACAAAACTAAAGCTAATCATTTTAATACTGTTTTTGTTTGATCTTGAAGTATATTTTTGTATTAACTATCTGGACATTTTGTTTTACTTCATTTTCATATAGTGCAGCTTTATCTAAGCACAGAAAAAGTTAAATGCATTGTTTTCTTTTCAACTCTAGTAGCAATCCTTTTAAAAATATACATTGTTGACACAATTTGTTCTACTTTCCACAGCACTGCAAAAGCAAGATTGGCATGTTATAAAGGCCTTTTTATGATACATCATATTAAAGAATGAATAGATGGAGACATTTACAATAGTATGCAGAAATTGTAGAGCAGTGCTCTCTTTAATTTACCATTTATTTGTGAGTTATTCAAAACTTTATTCATAGTATCACAGATATTTTCAGTAACACATTTGAATATTTTTGGTCATGCCCATGAAATCAGTTTATATAGTGGTCTACATTTGGCCAGTCACTGTATTGCTCTACTGAAGGCGAAATCACTAGACTGTCCTTCCTGTCTCCCAGAGATCTCTTAATCCTTAAATGACATTAGACCAGCGAGGACTAATCTAGCTATCCCGCTCTTCCAGGACAACACATTTTTCATTGCTCTAGTACTGTACAGAGACAGTGGGAGAGGGAGGAGTGTGATCGTAGAAATCTCACATTAAAAATAAGTGCTAGGCAGCTTACACAGAAGAGTGTTAAGTGCTTCCAGAATAGCTATTCGGTGCCATTAAGTCTGTGACACAACCTATTACGCAGAATGAGGATTCAGCTTCACTAAAGGGGGGTGTCTAATGAGAGTCTATTTTTAGGATTCATACTCTGCCACTGACACCTCCAGGTAAAATAGTGTAACAGCTTTAGTCTGAAGATTTAAAGTGTAAGTATGTGCTTTTTCCTCTATTTTTCTATTATCTTGAACAGATATTCATGTTAACGTCATCAGATGCTGCAATGGTGACTGTCCTGTACCTATTAACAGTGATGGGGATAAAAAAGAGTGTAAACAAAGCATGTAACATCATTTCAATTTCATTTAGCGTTTCATATCTGTATTATCCTAAACTATTATAGTAATCTAAAAATGAGATCCTCAATATAATGTTAACACAGTGATCCCAGGAGTTTTAAACAAATTTGGATAAATTTTATTTAACTTTCTTAACCTTATAACACCTAAAAATGAATAACCAGTGGTGCTTAATCTCATTTATTTTGTGTGAGTTTTTTTACTAATTTTCATTGAAATGTGTTTTATTTGTCTTATGCTGGATATAATTTCGCAAAGTCACTTAAATTATATCCAGCATAAGACAAATAAAGCACATTTCTGGTTTGTCCTTGTTGAAGGGCTATTTCAGCCTTAATGATTAGGCTGTGTTACATAAAAAAGGCTGGGAAACACTGTGTTAACACATACATGTTAAGTGATTAAGGATTAGTTCAAATTTGATATCATTATTAACCATTTATCTTCATCCCTTGAGGTGGTGTTTCAGCACCTGCTGTTTTTTGTCTGAATCTATGCATAGGGTTCTATGACTCAACCAACACTGTGTGAAACCTCATTTTGTGCATCTACAGATTTACAATATGCTATACAGGATTTACTGCCATAGCAAACATTGGTGTGGGATTGCAGATTATAGATGTATTTTTGCTAAATGAAAATTCACAAAATGTATGTGGTGTGTTGTTGTATCCCTAAGAAAAAGACTAGTCTGCTCACTGTCTGAACATTGGTTTACGTGCAAACACAATAAACAAGCACTTGCAACTTCATGTTGAGTTCTGTTCAATTCTCAGAAATAATATAAGACTAAAACTCTTTGCTAGAGAGGCCTGCAGCTCTCCAGTCAGGAAGTATTTGCAGAAACCGCTGTGACTGTGTATTAGATTACCGCTGGACAGTTCTCATTTTTTGAAGTGCAGAGGTAGTCACCTTGCCAACCACTCTGAGACTCCGCAGCAGAGATTAAACACAGTGAAGCTTGTGTGCTGTTCTAGAAATATTGCCTAGTTTTTTTCCAATACACAGATTTCTCTTGGAGAAATAGGATGAGGTCAAACATCCCTGATGGTCCATGACACATTCATTAGATCCATCTGCTGGTCACTGCTGTTATGAGTTCGACATGCTAGATGTCACCTCAGATGCAGATGATACCACTGCACAGAATGGAGGCCTTGTTTCAAGACAGCTTTCCTTTTGTCTCTCACCGACCTCTGGTGACCTAAAAAAAAAAAAAGACCATAAAAGCATTAAATGCCTCATCTATAAATAATATTCACTCTCACTAACATGGTACATTCAAGTGAAATGTCAGTGTACTGCACTAAAAGCACATTTTTAGAGTGCACTGTGATTTCCTGCTATAGTGTGACTGGAACTCACTGAGACAGCATGTCCACGGTTCTTTGTGTGGATTTGGTTTTCTTGTGCTGAGGACCGTATAGCATATTCTGAATATCCAGACACTGAAACAGACACAGATACGGGTGGTCGGCAAAACATTTACATGTCAAACTCCACCTAAAATTATTTGAAATAATAATAATGAATATATACATTTATATACATACATACATACACACACACACTGTCCACATTTTCACATAATGTCCAAGCATTACCGACAACGCGTGCATTCTCATTCAAACTCCCATATCAGGACTCGATATAAGGACTGACCGAAAGCACAAGGGGAGCATAAAAAACGCTCGGGATTGTTGGCGGAACAGTCGAGCGCTGTGTGAGAAGTTTTCACGTCTAACGTACACCGCGCGAATGCTAAATTGAGCTCTCTTCCGCTTTTTTGTGCATGGATGAATAAATTCAGACAAAATTACTTAAAAATGCGCGTTTTGGCGAATATCCTAGTAAACAGTCGGTTAGGCATTTGTCTTAACGTAAACAGTTGAGAAAGAAAAGGCATGTGTATCAGTATATTAAATCCGTGCTTTCCTTCTTAAAGTGAACGCAAACTAATAATAAATCTAATGCTGTCAAAGAAAAATACAATTGCTCACTGCTTCTGACTAAATAACCTTTGTAACATCAAAAATGATTAGTCTACATTTAATTTATACATTGAAGACTATGCACTTATTTTACATTTGATTATTACATTCCTGTAGCGTACCTGAAAATTGATTTTAGACTGAGCTGAAAAACCTGAAAAGCACTGTTTATTGAACTTGTGTCTTTGTATTTATTTTCTGCTATTGCTTGTAATTTGGTTATCTGTAGAAAAGATTTTTAGCACTGAGCCAATAGTAGCAGCCAGAATAGTTTTTCCAATTGTTTATTTTCTTTATTATAAAAAAAAGAAAAAGTGTAGGCCTATACCTACACTATACAGGATATACTCCTGTATCGAATCAAATCGTATCGTATAATTTTTTTGAGGTATCGGCAAATATCGTATCGCTGGGTATGAGAATCGATATCGTATCGTATCGTGACGAACCATC